ATTATTACTTGTGTGTTACCACTTAAACAGCTTCTGTAGACATGGAACTTAAAAGCAAATTCATTTGCATTTGACAACCTAAAGGACTCGTCATCTATTATGTAGCGATGATTTTAAAACCTTCTTTGATTCCTGAAACTAGATATAAGGCCCTCTCTCCTGTGGTAACAGTGGAGTCGCTTCCAAGCTCCTTGAAGACTCCAATTTATGTTTACTAAGCAAACATCTGTAGCATCTGAAGAGTTAATGGCTGCTTGTTACCACTTCTGCTGGAGATTACCAACCTTGCAAGAGCAACAGGACACAGCACAGACCCGTACCTCCACTACTCCATCCCGCAGTACCATGCCTTCAGGTAAATCTCTTTTTGCCAGGGGTTTAAGCCAAATAGCAGACTAAAATGGATGAGACAGCTCACTCTGCTCTGCGGATGATACTTCTGGCAGTAAATCAAAAAGGAGACAGGTACCTTCAAAATAATCACAGCAAGAGTCATTGGAAGTAACACAGCAGACCCCTAAGAAAAGCTGCGTTATTTTGAAGATATGTCCGGACTCATCTACCGGTTAGAAATATTTCAGTTCTCTTTTTCTTTTCCTTCCTGAGGAAGTAATTAAAAACAAGCAGCTGGGCAATATCCCCACAGCTGACAAATTTGGAGTTTCTCAAGCAGCAGTTTTTCTGAATCGACTACAATATCACACAAATTCCACCATTCAATGCCACAAGAAGGAACAATACATATAAATGGATAGCAGCTCTGGTTTGGTTGGGGTTTTTTTTTGCCATACAGGCAGAAATGAACTTTTATACTGTGATGATGTACATGGATAGATAGACAGACAGATAGATAGATAAAACAATTTAGAAATGCAGTAATCGTATTACTGTTAGAATTGAAATACACTAATATGATGAAGAAGATATCAAAAGAGAGAGCTGTCTCCTGCTGGTAAGGCTCTCTCTGAACTACTTTTCAAAGACTTGATTTACATTGAGTTCTCTGTATCAGGCATAGATTAATCAGTGAATTAGAGAGAGAGAGAGATGCAAGAGAGAATAACTCTCCACACACAAAAAGGAATGAAAGCATTCTAGCAAGATCACTTCCACATTCTTAATTTAAATGTGTGCTTTAAATGCACTGTTACCTTATTTTCTTTGTCCAAAACACACATTCTCAGAACATTTAGCAAGCAGGCACACTGCATGCTTTAACTGAGCAACTAATACTAGTTATGGGTAAAATCATGGATCATCCTCGAAGCCATGCAGTTTACACTCACTTCAACTTGCACTATAGTTTCATCTCCAAGCCTTTGTAAAAATGGGAAAGTGAGAAGAGAGTCCACCTGACAGATTACCAAAACTTTTAACCTTCAGGAACTGCGCAAATTCCTGTTATCAGCTGTAAGAGAAATGCAAAAATACCCCAGATGATCCAAACTATCGCTCCTGTCATCAAAGCATTAGCACCTCAAGATTTAGAGTCCCAAACTGATGCCTTCACATTCTTAATGACTGACTTGAACAAGAGTAATTTCATTAGGATACAAATGGCTTTGAACATTATCTCCAGCCTTTGAGTCCAAAATTATGGCACTTAGAACTGGCATCAGTTTTGGCTGCTGATGAAAGCAGCAGTTTCACAGATTTGTCATTCCTGACCTCCTTCCTGGTACTTCCACTGGGCCAGCATCAGAGACACAAGCTGGATGAAAGGTTCTGCCACAGTTCATCTCTGAAATCTCAGAGCTGTTGAGCTTCCAAAGCTCCCTCAGACTTCACCTGGCAGAGCAGATGCTGAAAGCTTTGAAAGGGATCTTGGTACTCAGAGTCTCTATTTGCACCAGAGTGGTTCCCCCCCTCTCCATATAGGTCAGACAAAGATAAAATCATCAGTGTTTGGATAAGGGTAAGTTCAGTCTATTAACAGCTGTGATGTGGGAGATGCTGTCAAACACTGATGAAACTCATGGGATTGCCCGAGGTAAACTTGAAAGAAAACAATCCAGCTAGGTTTCGTAGCTAAACACTGACAGGTAAACACGGTTGATCTTAGCACATAAGTAATATTCAAATATCTTTCACTATTGTGGAATCACAGAATCACAGATAGTAGCCTTCCACTAGAGGAAGCGGGTGTCTTAAGTCAGCCAACTGAATTGTTGTGGAGACTCTTAATTCGTTCTGTAATTTTAATCTTTTCATTCATATGATCACTTCAACTTCTGGACCCTCCCCATCATCGGCTGAATCCTTCACCCTCTAACTTTTGCATTGGCTGTTAGCAACAGCAGTGATCCACCCATCCAGTCCTGTTTACATTAGTCTAAATACCAGATGCGTTTGTGCTGTATCAGAAAGAAGTTAAGTTTTGTGAATGCTGTAATCTGTGATGTAACATTGCTCTTTGACAAACAAGCTGCCGGTGCTTAGTTTCAAACACCACTGCATAAAAGCCTTCTGCCTTTTCTAGGGTTGCCATAACAACCAGCAGAGCACTGTCATTTTGCTAAGTAATGACAATGACAAATATGTAAGAAATGCAAAGGTCTGGGGAACTGGGAGCAAGATTAGAGCTTCTCTTCCTGCCTTTACAAAACATTTTACTGTGGATTCATCTTGCAAATCCTAAACTGTTCCTATGGGAACATGAGAAATAGCTAGCGTTAGTGCTCTGTGTTACCTCATTTTTCAGAAAGCCAGTGTTCTCCTTGTGGATGCTTTGTCAAGACGTAGCATGGCATTAGTAATCAAGAATATAGGATGTGATCTTGAGCTCACAAATGCCTGCAAAAGTCTGGAATGAATCCTAATTTTATAGTGTAATAAAGTGATAATGCCATCAGACCTTTCTGTCTTTAGTAGTTAAGAAAGGTTGCAGCAAAGATGCCATTCTATTAAACGAATAAAATCATGGACAGGTGACTCAAAAAGAAGTCAGAAAACTATTATCTGAAAAATTTTTCTGTTAACCATGAGAACGGAAAGTATTTTCTTCTTAATTAAATCAAGGATAACACCTATGACACCAACCAGAAAGATGAAGACTGACATTCCTACAATTTCATCACAAAAGCTGGTTTTTTCAGGTCATTTTTGTTTGGGATCACTCAACTTCTGATTTAACAGAAGAATTAATGTTATTTAATTTTCCCCAGTTGGGGGAAAGGAAGCCTTCAGTGTACACCACCAAAACATCATTTTCCTTTTATGCACTTTCAAACTGTAAGTATATTTACTGTGAGGGTGGTGAGGCACTGGAACAAGCTGCCCAGGGAAATTGTGGATACCCCATCCCTGGAAGTGTGAAAGATCAGGCTGGATGGGGCTCAGAGCAACCTGGTCTAGTGGAAGGTGTCCCCTCCCATGGCAGGGGGTTGGAACTCGATGATCTTTAAGGCCCCTTCCAACTCCAATCATCCTATGGTTCCATTCTCTTTTTTTGCCTACTACTTAGAACAGTTACATGTTACCTCAATTTGTTGTATCTATTAATCAAAATAAAATGACTGAAACTACAAATTTTACTTTAAATGCACAAAAAAACAAGAGTCATCCCTTGCACTTCTAACTTCTTTCTAAAACCATTACATGCACAGTGGCTGTTCCACGACTGCAGTCTCCAGACACGATGATCATGACTCTGTTCCTAGCCAGACACCATCAGCCTGACTTAAATACACTTCCCTGACTTAAATACAAAATGCCTCTCCAGTCACCCTGTACTCCTCCCTCCTTCCAGGCTTGGTACAGCTTCTGCAGTGTTCCTGTAGTCTGTCAGTCCAAGAAAATATTGACTTGTATCCATATCGATCTTGTCAGTCCAAGAAAATATGGACTTATATCCACGTTGAGTTAATTACCTCTCCTGCAGGATCATCTGTTGCCTTATTTCACTGCCTTCATAAGCTCCCCTGAGATCTGTATGTTCGTACACACCAATTTTAACAGTTTACGGCTTTAAGGGACTTTCTACACCTGCCTTGGGGTTTTTATGCCAATACAGAGAAGAAACAATAACAAACTGGAACTTCATGTAATGATATAATTCACAAACTGTGAAGAAATCCCATTTGTTAACAATCATTAATATTGATTTACCGTGACAACTACACAGTATCTATGCTTCTCTTTTAAGAAAGCTGAGATGTTTAATGATAAGCGAGGTTAAAAAAAAATATTAAAAATTATAGTTAGTCCCTTTGATGACACATCATCTGTTTTAAAACAGAACTCTCCCTGGATTGCAATGGGGCTGGTAAGCTAAACCAGGACATACTTGAATATTAAGAGGGAAAAACCTATTGCTATAAAATTTAACGATAGCCCAACACACCCTCCTGTGTCCTAAAACACCTAAAACTGTATTAAAAAATAAATTGACCCCAAGTGCTTAACGGAATCAAACAAGGTTTATGAAAGGGATGTAGTTGTAGTAATAAATCTGTCCATAAGAAATTATTCTTTTCAATCAGTTGTGTAACATGCATATAGTCATATGACAAGGCAAGACACAAAGATAGGAAAGAGAAAATAAGTAGGCACTGGTGAGATGGGCAGAGTATCCCAGTATGTTTGATCACAAGTTTCCCTAATTGCAACAAACATTGCTACTTCTGTAGATTTCCACTTCAGAACTTCAGGCACTCAAATAAATTAGTCAGATTAGATGACGAAAGATAAAATGTCTCAAGTTCCCCAGAGAGAATTGTGATACATTCTGGGGGTGACATTTAGCGTATAACATCAAGTCTTTTATCATTATTTTAGTAATCACGTAATAAATCCAGCAGGCAAGTTCTGAGATTTATAGAGCCCTGAAACCTCCAGAGTCTCAAAACCCAAGTAATTTCATAGTGATCTTGACATAATAGAAAACCAAGAATTTCATACACCCACACAAACCCCATCAAGCCAGGTAGTCATAACTCACACGGGACCATACACTTGCAAAGAGTAACCACAGTGACAGTTTAAAAAAAAAAAATCCTTACCTGCTGCTGCCTCAGAACTGATGCTATCTTTAACTACGCAAGCTGGACTTAGGGGCAACACGTCATCATCAAAACTGATCAGATCTCCTTCCACATCTAGTTTACTTTGCAAAGCAGGTGCTGAGGAGTTGGCTGCAGGTGACAATTCCCCCAGAGGCCTGAAAACCTTTTCTTGGGCAGATGCAGAAGACCGTGGAGGAGCAGCAATTGGTTTCAGTGGGGCCAAAGAAAGGGCAGGATTTTCTGCATAACGTGACTTTTTAGGAACAAGAGGCCTTGGAGCAGGAACAGGAAATTTCTTTTGTCCATCGCTGTTCTCTGATCCACTCCTCGCATCAAGAAAATCAGTACTACTACTTTTAACAAGGCCAGGTTTTGGCTTCTTTGGCAGTTCAGGTTTGGTTACAACACTGCTCCCAACTACTTCAGGCTGAGGCTGCAATTCCTTGGAAGGTGTTGATTTGCTTTCTGTCCATGTATCCCAGTCTCCTGAAATTCTGCTTACCCCTGGCTTTGGAGCAACTACTGGTTTCTTTGCAGTAGCAGGTCTTGGGGCAAATGAACGAGGGGCAATTTCTGGCTTTTTTAATAATCCTGAGGTATCATTAGTTCCTTGGGATTCAAAAACTTTGATCCTTGAAACAATACTATTTTGGCTCCTTTCTGTACTCATGCTGTCCATCGCCAAGTGATTGTCTAGTAAGCTGTCATCTAAGAGAGGTGACTGCTGAATTGGAGGTTGCGGGCTTTTCGTGGTAGACTGGTTCACTTCTTCTCCATTGTCTATCTTACTTTCAGTATTATTGACCACAGGTCTGAGATTGCTTCTTGATCTTGGCTTTGGCACAGGACGTATCACAGCATTGGGATTTTCTTGGCACCTCTGACCTTCAGAAATGTCAAAGACTATTAAGGGATTCTCATTTTCTGAAGGAGACCTATTCAGGAGAGATGCGGGCCTAGGAGGTTTAAGAGGACTCTGCCCTGCAAACAGAAAAGAAAAAGGTTTCAGTTATCTGTTCTAGAACACCTTATTTATGTTATTTATTGTGAGCCATCAGGATATTAAACATGATGGTTTTCATTCAGAACTCCCTACTGCTTGTGAAATTGCAGTTCTCTTTCTAAAAAGATAAATGAAAAAAATATACAAACTCTAGAAAGAAGCTGAAGGTTGCTGAAATGCACGGTATCGACAAGTTTTGAGTTCAAAACTACTTGTTAGCTTGCAGCACGAGGGGCATCTAGACCAAAGAATAGTACACTAACTCTCCTAGCTTGGTTTGCACATTTTTCAGTCTGAACATGAAATACTGCTGCTATTCTGATTGGACATCTGAGTTCCTCTGGCCCCAAAGCAATTGCCATTATGGCTGAATTGAGCAAAACTTTCAAGATTTAATTATAGTCTGACCATGAATGCAATGATAGCTCTTCAGAATAGAGGAATTTTACAGAAGTTTACAAAAGTAATCACATAAATTAAAGTGTTATTCATATTGGATGCTGCACAGACCAATAATAAAGACCATCTTCAGGAGACACAGTAAGGTTTTCATCAGTGAGAAATCCAAAATGTGCTCACCTGGATAGCCTGCAGATTCCCAGTGTGTAGGCACACTGGTTTTTACATTACTTCCTGGCAAATGGCCAATTAGTTCCTCTGGAAAGTCAGTTTGTGTTGCAGAAGTAGTGGTATGTCTAGGAGCAGCAGCATTATTGTTATTTGTTGTATTGACTTGCACTTGATTGATTTCTTTTATTACTTGCTCATATGATGGTGGAAGCTACAAAAGAGTGGGATAAATATTAATGTAAATCCAGATATGATCCTATTCAAAAAAAAGAAGCATATAAATTTAAAAATACTAAATTAACATATGCAGAGGAGAAGAACACTGTCATAGTCTTTTATGCAATGCGATGAAAGTCTAAGCAAGCAAAAACTCTGTTCCTCTCTAACTTAACATGCTTTTTACCTTTGTAAATCAAACACACCTCATGTAAATTCATGCTCACCTCAGCTGGAATATGCTCATTTCTCCTCCACTGAGCATGAGATGAAGCAGAAGGGAATCCTAATCCCTGAGGAGCGACAGGGCTTGCACCTGGAAACCAGGAGGATGGCCGGAGGGGTTCAGCAGCAACTATTGTAATTTCAGGACGCCTGGAGACGAAGGCAAAGGGGAACAATTATCTAAAACTTTTTTAAATTGTTCTTTTAAGTATAAAAGACCAAGGTTTTGTCTGCATGGGAAATCAAAATAGCTCAGGTCTTTTTGATTTAACCAATGATGTTTTTTCATGCTTTCAAAGTAACTTACTTGACCTTTTTAACAAGCACTTAGGCTTCCATTCAAAGCACCTGATTAAATGCCTAAGCCAAAAAGTAGGTTTATTGGCTCCAGTGAAATAATTTACATGCTTAAAGTACTTAAGCACAAGTGTAACTCTATTAGATGGAAGAAGTTTTAGTCTTTCGGGATAATGAGGGATAATCGTGTGTTTGCCCTTAGCCTGCCACAGTGTGAAAACAGTAGGATAGTTGAAACTGCTTCTGGCTGGCGAACTATAAGCTTGTCTGTCCTCAGACCTCTGGGGAAACCTCCCACTGTGCTAAAGTGGGACAGAGCAAGCCTCAGGAGTCCTTTGGGACAGGACCCATTTGCTTACAACATCTAGTACAATAGGGACTTCCGTTGACAGTTAAGGACCTGGAGGTCTACCAGCTTTGTCTCTATAACAACTGCTTTAGAGCACAAGCCGCAGTGGTGGCCCGCGTCCCCAGACTGTGGTCCCCAGAGTACCACTCATCAATCTGGAGTCTCACACAAAATACACCTTGAGAAGTGAGTAGATGAAACATTTGCAACAGAAGCTTCTGTCTGCTGGCAGAAAAAAACCTGCAGGAGAGTAACTTCTAAAACTATTGGGAAAATAATTTTAAAAAGAAGGTTGCAGTTCCTTCACACCTGAAATAACGGCAGACTCAGTTCACCAGCTATCCAGGTTGGTGACCTCCTTTCTCAATACCCTTTGAGAAACTGGAAGGAGGCCTGGAAGTGTGCTTATTTTCATTGTGAAGTGATCCTGTAAATAGATGTCAGGGAAGTAAAACAGCTCTGCAGAGGTTTGATGGTTGGTTGCATTCTTTTTTTTGAGGATACATACAAAAGTTGATGAGAAAACTCCTCAAAAACTCAACCTACCCTGCGCTTAAAAATCACAGTATTTTTTTTTATTCCAAGTCTAATTTATTTTTAAACACACTAAGGGTACAGAGAAGGAAAAAACCCAACAAAATAGAGGACAAAGCCATAAAAAGTAATGCTGTAATACAACAGAAAAAGTTTCACAGTAAAATCTAATTGCAATATAAATAACAGCATCATACCTTCTATCCCTCTGCTGTTCGCTATGGCTAGAGGTCCGAGAAGCTATTTAAAGAAACAAAAGTTTTGAAGAGGTTAAAATATACTGTCACCGCAATAAGGTGAGGATAATAGCACAGCCCTTACCAATCCACTACCAATGAAATGGAGAACATACAGCATCTGATCATAAATTCCAGATTTTAAGAGTGGCCAAGTTAAATAAAAAAATTATTTGTACTAAATATGAGAAGTCTTTAAAAGGTTTAGGGTGCAGTTGCATAATCAGTTTAAGTCACTCTGTGTCCAAGTTACCACCAAGAGAGATGGTCCTGTCCCCTTTCTTCTTCCTCATCAGACATTTCCTGCATTCTGCACTGTGGTCACCCTAGAGTTGAAACTTCTTTTTCGTTTTCTTTAGTTAAAACAATCCATGAATAAAACAAAAAGAAGTGTTAAACACGTCTGGCTTTGCTTTTGATGGCTCATTTCTGAGATCTGTTCTTTAATCTCTTTTTTAATGTCTCTTTGTGTTTGGTTTAGAGAGGGGAAAAGTACTAAGGCACAAAATCTAAAAAGCTATTTTACCGTCCTTTATGTAAAAAGAAAGAATTAAGCGTTACCAGCTAGAAATTTCCTAAAGTTTAATCACTCGTAGATCAAAGCCAGCAACATTTCTTTTTGTTTTTCCACATCATGTATTTTAAGTTACATAAAGTGAATCCTGACCTCTTCATTTTCCTATTTTTGCCATATTTATAGTCAAATAATTTTTTCAATGGCCACATATTTTCACTACAATTTCTTTAGAGAGAAAAGAAAATGATCCGAGGGACAATTTTTTGCATAGCAAGTGAGATTTAGGAAGTGGTAGAATCTCCTTGTGCAAAAGCTGACAATTATGCTGTTCCTGCGCCACCGCAGAATCATTAGCTGATACCAGCAAAGCATACTTGATTCAAGAGTCCGCATAGTGTTCTGTCAGACATACCTCTTCGACAGGGCATTTTTGATGTGCACTATTCATGAGTGCTAGAGGAAAAAAAGAAGGGGTTACAGAAGAGGAAGAGGAGGTGAAGGAGAACAAACCAAGGCTTCAGACTGCCAGAAACCATGATCAAATGGGTTAGTCACGCAAGGACAGCGCACGTGTCAGTCTTGTAAGAGGACAACTGTAAAGACTTTTCACAATATAGTGTCTTAAAAAAACAAAATAAAAGCAGATTTTATTTCTAGTCTCACGCTGATTTTAACAATGGCTGTTTTAGAAGTTTCCTTTGCAGTAAATTAACCATGAAGAATGTAACTGAAGATGGAGATGTCGACAGTATTGCTCAACAATAAGCTACTGTAGGAATGAGGAGAGGGAAGTCATATCTCTTTGAGTGGTTTATGCAGGTTAAAAGCATGGTTTATTTGGGCCTGCACTTCTTCCCTTCTAAAAATAATGGGTTACACTGAGAAGCTGATACAGATGCAAAGAAGCAAAGGTCCCATAATTTATACTCCTACCTACCAAAGAGGTATGGGCAGGCAGGTTGATCCCAGTAAGAGGCACACCTCAAAGTTTCAGGCACATTTCCTAACCCTGTTCTGTAAATTATTTCGCAAAAATAAGTAAATAAAATCCCCTACACCTCGCCTTCACTTTCTTCTTCAGAGTTCTTAACACAGTGTTGATCTAATACACACATTAAAGATAAAAAGACAAACTGACCCAAACCAACGAATTCCAAGATTACTTTTGCAAAGAGGATGGAAGAAAGTGTTCATTTGGTAAATGTATTCAACACAGAAGCTTGGGGTATAGCCTAATTACAATAAGGGCATTAGAAATAAAAGCTAATTAATTGGGAGATGTTGTTTTCAGAATGTGCTCATTCTGTTTGAAACAAACAAACAGACAAAAAACTTCCAGGTATTTATGGAATCAAACTACTTCCATGCACATAAACATTTACTATAAATATTTATTTTTAAGGACTTTGACAAAGTTCTTCCCTCCTTCCATCAACTGCTCCCCTCTTTTTGTTGTCACATTTTTGTTACAACCACACTTTTATAACATATTTTGTTTTGAAAGCTCTTAAACCCACAGTAGGAGCAGAGGTGAAAGGTACTGTATCTTCTGCTCTTACATATTTCTTGGAGTTCCACAAATGCTAGGGAAATGAAAATATTAACTTTCTAAATAACCCTTGCCTCCAGACCTGCACAGCTTTTATTCCTTTTCCATTTCAGAGGAATGAATTTAAATTTAAAAATCTATGAGAGAGGACATGAATTTTTAAAATATAGCACACACCTGATTTAAAAACAAAAGAAAAAAACCTGCAGCCATTTTTCTGGCCTTATGCTCTTTTGATCCTCTAAGTCTATTCTTCATTCCCTTTGTGGATTGCCTTGAAAAAGCCTGCTATGAATTTCTCCCCCAGATTTCAAATTATGGCAGCTTTAAGGTTTAAAAAAAACCTTTCTTCCATCAGGAGAGTCAATGGAAATGTATTTCTGTGCTAGTTTATATACTGTGAACTGAAGACAGTCATCTCCTCAACTTCCACACTAAGAAATGCCCAGGGTGAGAACTGTTGACATTTCTACTACCAAATGCTTAGTGGTATTTAAGTAAAAGGTAAGCAAAGCCGTTAAAGAAGGAGTGGGAGCAGAAAAACCCAGTGCATAAAATCCACACCTTTTCATCTTATAACTCTGTTGGTCTCAGGAGAAAGTCAAAATGTCAAATCAACTCATAACATTGTCACTATTTATTTCCATTAGTGTCAATGAGGCATCTAAATGTGTTTAACCTAATAAAGTACAATTTAGGCAAGTAAAGGATTAACAGTAATACCGTAAATGGAGGACAGATTACTGACTTATAGATTAATTTTTTGTACATATTTTTTACAAGCACTATTTATGGGGCTTTATCCAACTATTTTTGAATGTGCAGTCATAAATTCAGTTTGTGCCTGTATACTTACGTTTAGAATGTTTTTTCTCCATGGCTTTTTCTTTGGGTCCTACTCTTCAAGTGCACTTAGTATGTCATTTGTAATTGACACATAGAGATTATGGGGCAGGGGGCATTTAATGTTATGAGATCAAGATGCCTGTGTAAGTACAATCACTGTTATACCACAAATCCATAAATTGCAATGCTACAGACAAGCTGGTGGCAACAGAATTCTGACATGCACTTTTGAGCCTTTGGAAGAGAGTTGGGCTGGAATTTACAGTCTTTCAGGTAATCTTTTAAGGCAATATAGAGGCAACTATAATGTTCATTCAGGGATCTGCTCAGATGCCATCCTGCTGTGAGTGCTGAGCTTCCACAAAATAGACATTGCATAATAATATTCATATGTTTCCATTAGCAAATATGTATAAAATACTGGACAGTTTTGTCATTTCAGAGTGTTTTAAAATATAGCTTATATTTCACATTGAAGACTGGAACCACAGCCTCAAATAGCCCAAGCCCTATGGGAAATCAAGCTCAAAATTTTTCTGATTATTTTTATCTATTGTCCCTTCCAGCAGCTGTGAGTAAACAAGATCCTGCCAAATAACTTGCAATTTAAGTATCTCAGTTAATTCATATTAACTATTATTAATAGATTTTAAAGTACTAGTATTACTTACTACAACAAGGACATACTAATATTTAAAAACATAGCTTCTTTCAATGCTTTTCCAACACGGGGATAGACATGTCATCCATCAATTCCATGAAATTAGTAGACTATTAGACTGAGGAGTTATTCTTCCCACCGTATGGCTGCCTAACCTGTAGCCGTTATAGGTTATTCATTATAGTGTCCCAAGGGGAGCCTCAAGAGTGGGCAAACACTCCTTCCCTGACCTACAAAATAATACACCAGAAGAGCTGACAGAATTGTCCCATGTAAGAGACCACACTTGCCATCTTTGCAATACCAAAGGTGTTATGTGGCTGCAGTGGCCCTTCTTCATGGAATACTAAAATGATCAGGTAACCCGCAAGGCAAAACCAGAAAAAAAAATATAAATTACTTCACCCAAGATCTCATTAGACTATTTCTGTAGAATTGGAGGCTCAAACTAATTGGAAATTTTCACTCATCTCTGAAGTAAGAGAGTTGAAGCTTTTCTCCTGAACTATTTCTTGGCACAAGGGGGAGGTCTTGCTCCTTTTCTTCTAGTTCTGTTTCCAGTCACCTCAGGAAAATGTTAGGTTGTCTGACATTAGAGCTAGGTTGATTTAATGCTTAAAGGTAGCTAAAAGAGATGGTGATGCCCAATTCCTCCTTCAAATACCGACTTTTGTCCCCTCTTGAACCAATATTAGCACTCATCTCACCCCACAGTAAGCGATTTCAGAGTTTTAAATAAAAAAATAAGTATCTTCTGTACAGTTTTTGTCCATCTTATCTCACTGAATCTGCTCACCTTGGGCTCAGACCACCAGCAGCACAGGGGAAGGAATATGCCACCCCTAGTTTCCTGCCTCAACTTCCCAATTCCAGTTCTTCTTTGTTCAACTTCAGTGAGACAATTGATCAAAAAATAACTTAGGGGGGTGACAGGATTCCTCTTCCTCCAGTTGAGTTCAGATACCGTCTTCACAGCTGACCCAACTGCCTGGCACCATAAAGGCTGGCATCGCTGCTAAATAAAATCTGTGTAACTGCACCCTTAGAACAGGCCTGCAGTTTCACTCAAATGTGACAGTAATGATTTATGAAGGCACTTCACTCCTTCCCACACCTTTCCTCAGGCTGTATGTTCCTGCCTCTGCACCGTTCCCTGCATTATGCCAGCCCAAATGTTTGTGCAGATGGGGAGAGAATGAGGTCACAGAATTGATCTGGTTGGGAGAAAGTGGGAGCCAAAAGAACCTAGGAAGCCCCCAAGCAAAACAAAACAAAAAATGAAAAACAAACAAAACCCACAGCCAAAAATGGCTGCAAAACTGCCAAATGGGAAGCCACAGCCTCTGAGTGCATACAAGCTGTTACACATCCTTCATTCAGCCACATATTTGCTTAGGACAGAATGAGAATGGAACAAGGTTGCAGGTTCTTCCAACATCTTAGGGCAACAGATTTTTGTAGCCCTGCTCCTTAACACCACCCTGCCCTGGAAGAGCTGAGAAGCGAGCAAAACCATCATTCCCCTTTGTCTCACTACTGCAGCACTTGGCTTGACTCCTTTTACTTTTTTTGGCGTTCTTGTGCATGTTGGTGTCTCTGGCATTAGTGGAAATAGTTTCACTGATTTCACTGAGCGCTGGTTTTAGTGGTACGTCCTGGCCTGAGACCATCATTAAAAATCCAGGGGTAACTTTTGAAGAGTTGAGATTAAAAAATTACTCCCAAGCATCTCTCATGTTCACATGTTTGCTTTCTTCAGGCACACTGGGGTGACTTTTCTGAATTCTACTGAGCTGTCAAACAACTGAAATAAAATGACACTGTCTTTCTATCCAGATTTGTAGTCAGGGTGGCTGAACGGAAAACAAAACCCCATCCTCTTTGGCCACAAAACAGAGAGATTATTGATACAAAGTCACGAAAAGCATTGTCCACAGGTTGGAAAGTTGAAACCCTGCAAATACCTATCATGTTTCTTGAAAATTAGAGATAAACAGCCCGCAGAAGCTGTGATTAAGAATTAAAGATACACTTTTTCCGGAGAATATAATGATTTTTCCAGATTAATGGCAAGGGGAGTTAGGAATTAATCAGGGCCCATTTCTAATTTAGGTCCATCCATGGATATGGTTAGTGGCATACAACGAGCTACGGTTTCATATACAATGCCTTGATATGGACATGGCGATTTTTTAATAGCCTATCATCTGAATAATTCACGTGGTACCTATATTTCATTGTAATTACATCTTAATATTATTAAGAATGATGTTATAACATACGAGCCAGGGCTTCTTGACTAGATTATTTTTTACTTGATTGCGCCTTAAAACAAAATACCATTTGCTACCTTATTTTCAAAAACATAGATCTCAATGGCTTAACAATCTTTGGGCAGTCTCTCACTCAGATGAGGTACTGGGGCTCAGGCAGTCTGAATCAACTTCTGACTCCACCACAAAAGGCTCTCTGTGAACTGGTACACTCTGTTTACCAGTTTCCCATCTATGGCAGCAGCAGCAACACAGATAATGTGCTGCATTTTAACTACAGCATCATGTAGACTTGCTCTGAGTGAAGCTTTCATGATCCCCTTTGACTACCTCCAACCCAATCCATACTAATGAGCCCCTGCCTAATAGGTCCAGGAGAAACAAATCAGTAGTACATACACTAATTTATTTTTCCCCACAGCAGAATCATAAGGGCTGTTTCATTAATATGAAATTGAAATCATGGACAGAAAGGAAATAAAAATGAAAAGTGGAAGAAAGAAGCAGCATAAAATACTTTGGAAAATGCAGCTAAAGAAACTCTTTGCCTGGGAATATCATGGGCAGGGAAAGAGAAAGAGGAGTTCAGCAGTTAAGTCACAGAAGAAGAGTTTGGGCTTTCACTCAAGCTTTCTAAACAATTTTTTGTTTTCCACAATGAACCTGGTACACGAGTCTAATCCTGTCCCCAGGACAGCCAATGAGCAGTTGCTGCAGATTTCTACAAAAATAAAAGTATCTCCTGTTTTGTCCAGTGAACTACAAATTGGGCATGTGTAACCCAAGTTCTTCAGAGGCAGATCACATCTGTGCACAAATGCGTTAGTGCATAAATAAGACAATGTTAGTAACTGGAAAGAAGGAACTACTTATCAGCAAAGCAAGAATATGGTCTAACATGAAGCAAAAAAAAGGACAAAGAGTGAGAAAGAAATTACAGTCCTCCAAAAGTCTGCTAGCTACTCTGTTGGCACGTATAAACTTAACTGTTCACTAAAAATGAAGATTTAGCAATCTTACAATATTATGAGTCTCAAAAAATAGGAAAAGTAGACTTACATCTCTTGATTGCTGCTCTTATGGATGACAATGGTCCTTGGCTTAATGGAAAAAAAAAAAGAAAAAGCATTACAACGTGGTTAATGATTTAAAGAAAAATCATCGAAGTAACATTACGCAGAATTTCCCCATATATTGTACAGGGTTTGCCAAGTGCATTTTTTCCCTAGGTTGTTATCTTACAGGAACTTGTCCAAAGCTCCTGGAGTATACAACCATACTCAACCCCTCCTAATGAAAACCAGGTTACAGCTTCACTGCAAGACTCTGCAAAGACAGAAAGCCAATTTTTAAAACCATTTTTTCTGTTGATTCTGTGTTGAAGTTCACATTCTGTCTCATTCGACGGGAAAACTTGGACAAGAGCCCATTGTGGGTGTGCATATTCTCAGATTATAAGCATTTAATGACTTAATATTCTTCTAAATAAATAAAATTTACACAGACGAGTAAAAACCTACAACCCCCTTGCATAATATTTTTAACAATTACTTAACAACTTATCTTCCTTTTCAGTTGAGATTGCATTTTTCAGTAATAACTTGGTGGGTGGGGTTAGACAGGAAGACAACATGACCAAGAATCTGTTGATACACCAGGACAGAAAAATGTTTTGTCAATTCATCTGTTATTTTTGTAAGACTAAGGTTTCTCATGCCTCTCTTCCGAAGGTCTTATTTAACAGATACAGCAGTCCTTAATACTTTTGCAAGTAAAAATAAAAACTGATTTGGGGTTATAATTTTCAGAAAGTGTTGCTAACTTGAAGAACATTGTCTTAATAACCTGCCCCTTGTGCAAAGCTGCACAGAAGACTAAAAAAAACACTGCACACAAGTATACTTCAGAAAAGGACTTTTTTTGTGCTTTTGCCTTTTTTTTTTTTTTTAAAAACACAACAGGCAATGAATACGTGTTGGTGAAAAGCCTCTGGAAGTGCCGAATAGTCATTTTAAAGGCTGAAAATAAATAGCCTATATTTGATTTAAATTAATACAACATCTTAATTAGAACAGAAAGGCACACTAATCAAGTCTTTTTCTGGAAACCTTCCAGCACAGCCTTCATCAGGGGTATAACAGCAGGAATGTTAGTACGGGCAGGACATGAGCATTTTAACACAGCTCTCCCTCTGCCCGCAGCAGGCGTGTGCCGCACACCACCGCTGCCAGGGCTCAGCTTAGCTCCACCTGCACTTGCACGGCAGTTGCTGATGGCTGCAGTTCCTCCAGTGGGATGAAGAATAGGGGGATTGGGAGGAGAGAAGAAAGAGACAGTCAAAAAGGACGTGGATGGAAAATGTCCTCCCTCTACAGTCATTCTGAAAACTAATTAAAAATAGAAATGAATGTTGCTCTGACTGAACTTTTTTTCTGAAATAGTTTGGCTAGTCTAGGATAAACAATGCTTACTTGTCTGGTTTCAGAAACAGTTCAAATGTGTCTTGGCCCCTGTCCATACAGCTAGCAAAGCTCCGTTAGAAAACATTTCTATCAGTCATATTTCACTGTGCATTCTCAGCAAAAAAGATTCTGATTTTCCTTCAAAACACTCCATCATAATACAGCGTTATCTTTAAGAAACACTTTTAGTCCTATGTTCCTCACAGGTGTACTCAACTCCTTTTTTTCTTCCTCGTAACTGAAGACTCTTTCTTTGGGATGTTCATTTTCAAAACCTTATTCTTCTGCTTTCATTGCTGAGAATAACTACTATCTTTAGGGTTTTATTTTAATCATATTTAGTATAAGACAGGAAGGAGACCGAAGTCTGGTAACATGAATCTGAAATCTTTTGGAGTAGGAAAATCTTTCTGTACTCAGAATTCAAGATTTACTTAAGTTTTATAGCAGGAAATTAGGAAATCTATAAAGTATGCATATTCAAGTGTCAGAAGATTTACTTAAGTTTTATAGCAGGAAATTAGGAAATCTATATTCAAGTGTCAGTAAAAAGACCACCGAACCCAACCCAAAAAAAAAAAAAAAAAACCCAAAAAAAAACCAAACACACAATCAAAAGGAACAAGTTAAGTTCATTCTTTTGCTGGCAAGAGCGCTTCGACCCATTGCAATTTGCCTCAGAATCTGCTGAGCACTTTCAGATACCAGCAGGTATCTTTGGCTAGAAATCATAGGAGGAGTCATGTAGGCAAAAGTTCATGAGGTCCAAAAGATTTCAGAAAACAATTTTAAAATCAAAATGCAAAGAACAAAGAAGCAAAGCCTTTCACACAACCAGCCTAGTGAAGCTGAAGTATGGATATATCAAGAGCAAGGCAGTTCAAGTATGCAATTGTCTGTGTAATTTAGAACCCAGGATAACACGGTTCTGCTATAAAATTTATGAGCTTACAGGCAAAACAAGCTGTTAGCAGATAGTTTTTCTCTTCCACTTTCCATTAACAGGTCACCCATCAACAACCCTTTGGCAAAGCGCTGGATTTCCTACCCCCAGGAGAGTTCAATTCACATTTAGCTTACAATTATTTAAGTGTTTTAAAAACATGGAAATGGGAGCGGATGTAGATTTATTTTTTTTTTTCCCCATGAAGCCCTGTAAAGGAACCACAAATTTCATAACTTTGTTACACACTAAATCACAGTAATTTACATAAAATACTGGGTTTGGGGCAGATTGATTTTGCTGGTATCTTTTGCTGTGCTAACCCCTCCCCAGTCCACAGGCAACAATTTCTGGACTCTTGTCCTGCCTTGCAAAGGGAGAAGTGATAAGGTTACTAATATCCTCCTCTGCTCCACAGTTAATGACACATTTTCTCTCTAGCCATCCAAATAATTAACATAACCAAATCGAATTTAATTCTCCTATTTGATGAGGTAGGAGTTGCAGCAATTTCTCTACTCTGTGGAGTCACTGCCTCTTTCCCACCCCCTCCTCCAATCTGTAAGGCACAGCAATGAACCAGAGCACACACAAAATCCCCATAAATGCACATGTCAACGAAAAATGGAGAGGGAAGAAGTTGAATCTGTGTGGGACCTCTGATACTGGTCCCAGTGAGACTCCCCCAACCGTTACGTCAGAACACCTGAGGGGACAGCGTGACAATAACCAGCCTCAGCTCCTGTGTCACCCTGTAATGTATATAAGCAAAGTCCAAACTCTTATTGCTGGAAGAAAACAGAGCAGACAGCAGGAAAGAGGACCTTTCAGAGCACTAAAGACTCTGATAAACATTAGCTCCAACACCACCCCAGCCCTATCTAAGACGGAATAAGTAAAGATGCAAACTATTCATCCATCCCACACACAGTTTACCATACAGGAGTGGACAACTGGAGCAACTCCTCTGACATCTGCAGATTTATCCAAGACCTCGCCCACTGTTAATTTAAAGCACAAACTCAAGTTTCTTTTTCAGCTAAGGCAGCAGCTTCATTGAGCTTCAGGTGCCAGCCCCTCAAAAGGGGGAACTAACCTACCTCTGTTGGGTTCCCAAGGGGGAACTAACCTACCTCTGTTGGGTTCTCTGCGCACCCAAACCAACCCACTCAGATAGGTTCAGCAGGGATCTGTAAGCTGCTGTACCTGCTATGCTGAAAGCAGTTGGGTTCTTTAAGTCAGCAGTAATATGAAAAGGGTCCCACGGGTCACCATTTCTGAAAGGTAAAGAACCTGTAGCAGTGTGTTTGAAGATGTTTAAACACCTACTCACTCTCCCTGGCAGGCTTCATTCTGGGTTTCAAGGACGGGTTTTCTAAATATAAACACTTGAGGAAAACGCTTCAAAAGCTTATTTGAGGTCTGTGTATTGGGGAAATAAAACTGCCACAAACTAGACTGGGCAAAGTGCTGCAAACCGTTTAGCGGAGTAAGTGCACTGAGTGTGTGTAAAGCACAGACTCTTCCTCACTGGAGGCTCTGCTCCGACACTTTTACTCACACTGAGCAGCATCTCTCTTCAAACACAGCTTCAGTGTAGCTCCAGTATGTCTCAAAGGCTCGCTCCTGTGGGGTGACCCTGACCCAACACAGCGACCGTGCGAGCATCACTCACCTGAACAGTCCCCGCACAGCAGAGGAGGGGAAGTGCTGTTCAAGTGGAATAAAGCTCAAATCACACGGGCACCTCGGAGAGAGCAGGCAGAGATTTGTGTCTGCCTGGAGCAGGACAGCATTTAAGTCACACGTTACCCGAGCAAAGAGGCCAGGAGGTCCTGGCTAACCTTTTCACCCACACATCTTTTAGCTGTTTCAGGAGCAGCAGTGGTCCCAGCCCAGCCAAGAGAAACTCATGGACGTGTTCCCACCAGCCGGCTGATGGTGAGCCAACTCTACCAGTCCTTAGGTTCACATACCTGTATAAAAACTTTTTAACATATTTTTAATTGTGATGTTTATTGACCTTGTGTTACACACATACACACACAGAGATTAAAAAAAGTTAAAATGTTGCTATTTTTAATATCTTGTGACTTCCTGGAATGTAAGCCAAGAATTTTTAAATAGCTGATGCTGAAATTACTGTAAGACAAAACACTAGTTTAATAAAAGGCATCATTTAACCCTCTCAGTTACTTTAGAAATCATGCCATCTTTATAACAGCCGGTGTACTATAGCATACATTTTAAAAACTTATTAGAAGACATTATTCCAAACACAGAAAGTTTAAAATGCCACCTAACTGATTTCACTACAGACTGAATTGCAGAAAGATGTTAGTAATTTTATAGTTAAATTAAGGGTGGTGCAAAAGATCAGATTTACTACCACCCTTATATCGGGCCAAAGACAGACCTATTAGTTCAACCGAAAAGCTCCAAACGGTCAGAAAAGTCACGGATATCTCATCTTCATGAGTTAATCCTGCGGATGAAGTGAATCTACACTAAAAATGTATCCACAGCCTCCAGCCTCTTCAATGCCTCCACTCCCAGGACTCCCTGTCCCTCACCTGATACGTGTAAATTAGACGCCGTGACACACAGACTCCAGCTGCAGCTTCCCCACTAGTGTAAGAGAAGCAGAGACTGTGCAGCCTGCGGTCCCAGCTTCCCCAGGCTCACCATTCCCACC